AGTGCTTGGCTTCATTTGTACTTTGTATCTGGAAAACCTCAGGACACTGACCTGACCCCAGGCCTTTTTCACCAGGGTTGTGACACTGCACCTCTCACCTTCTCCAGCTTCTCCATGCTGGCTTGTTTACAATGCTTTCCTTGGCCCTCGTGTCATGTCCATCTCCTGCTTGCCCCCACGCCCGCCCGGTGACCTGCAGGGAGCCGGGCACTCCACTGTGGTGACTGCTGAGCCAGACCTTCTGTGGGGGCAGCTGTGCTGGATGGGGTCATCTGGGGCATCTCCTTAGTGAGTAGAGGCACAGCTTTGTTAGGAAAACACCTGCCCACTAAACATCAAAGGTGATGTCTTCCAAATACCAAGAAAAAGGCAGCAAACATTCCACTAGGCATGGCTGAGAAGTTGCTAGGTGTGTCAGAAGCCGACTATTCTCTTAATTCCTGATTTTCATTAGAAGAGGGGAGAGAAACCTCTCTGGAGTGTAACAGGTCACAGCTCTCAGATTGCAAGTGCCTCCAGCATTGTACTGGCCACTAGCTTTGTCAAAAGAAAGTTAGTTGACTTTTTTTAATGTTAATCAATTTTAGTGGTTATTTCTGATGAGATGAAACCAGGCAGGTAACAACTCAAACAATCACCTTCTGCATTGGGCAAGGCCCAGTGGGTACATGCAGCTCACCAAGGACGTGTGTTGTCTTCTGTTTGCATTGTTGACAGCACATCAGGAAATATAAAAGAAAACTCACCTTAAACCTTGAAATCTTGTCTGTAACCACAGGCTGTTTTCACACACTTGCCAGCTTATAATAGCAAAAACAGATTTCAAATATTCAAGAAAGAATAGCAATAACATCCTTTCTCCTAAACATGATAATCCTTCACGTTCAGGTAAGCAGTCCTTTATTGGCTGTTATCAGTCCTTCAGAAAACCTCCAGCAAAATCAAGGCAAACAGTGATACCAAGTTGAAAAATGTTTAATTCAAAAGATGGGTTGTTTTCCATCAGGCCTTCCTCATGTTTAATGCCAAACCAGCTCAGGGCACAGCCCACCCTGGTTTGTCTTTGTAGGTTAACCTGAAAACAAAAAAGTAAAATGCACTCCTTCAGAAATTATCAATGCTATTAAGCAAGGGCAAGTGAACATCATGTCAGACAGCAGTAATAAGACAGCAATAGTTACTTATCTGTCTCCCTTCTGAGATACTGAGCAGCTTCACAGAATCATAAAAAAAGGAGTTGGGTTGGGTTAGAAGGAAAGATCCTCTAGTTCCAACCCCCTGCCATGGGCAGGGGCATCTTTCACTAGACCTCACTAGATGTTGCTCAGAAGCCCATCCAGCCTTGCCTTGAACACTTCCAGGGATGGGGCCAACAGGCTTCCTTCAATCAGGTTTTGAAAGAAAGAGCTTTGAAATCTGACAGGGACAAGCTGGCAGAGTATTTGATGCTGCTGGGCGCAGAGTTGAGCTTAGTTAGGCCACAAACTTCCTGCAGCTCGATGGTGCTATGTTCACTCGCACCAGTTACAGGACAAGATGAGGATGTCAGTGTGTTGTGCAGTCTCTGCTATGATTTATTACCCAAATGGTAAATACTGGCTTATGCAGCTGCTAATTCCCTCAATATTTGCTTTTGAGAGACACACTCAATCCTACTGACTTCACACATCAGTCAGTCTACGTGTGACTGTAAATGTCTCGTTATGCAGGAAAAAATTATTCTCAATTTACATCAGTGCAAACCAAAGGCAAGTGCTGTTGACTTACTGTGCAGTCAGAATCAGGCTCTCAGTTTAAAGGCTAAAGTGCTGGCTTCACTATGTAGGGATAAATACATACAGTCATTATACAGGATTTAATTAACATGTATGATAATGGTATGCAACTCGAGCTCTAATACCAGGCACATTCAAATGAGCTGACACTAAGATCGCACTATGTTTTTTTTTAGACTAAGGCCTGTATTAGTGTGCCTGCAGGCAGTTCCAGTGTGGAAAAAGGAACAAGTGAGATGGGCCAGCACATTTACAAAACCAGTGCATTATACAAACCCAAAACACAGTCCCTTCCTTCCAGTCTTTTTCTCCTGAGGTACTGGGGTGTGCTCCTGCTGTCTGTACTGATTACCAGCAAGTACCAGCAGTACCACAGGACAACAAACTGTCTTGGTTTATTGGGACAACTGTGCTGGATGTTTGTTATCAGACTATAGGCTAGTGCCAGCTGAGCCATCAGACAAGGTAGGTTTGAGAGCTGAGGCTCCCAGATTCTTCACTGCAGGATTTAAGTGCCAAACTGCCCTGAAAACTTGCAGCTTCATCACTCGAAGGCCTGCTTTCTGTGACCCACGAAGCTCAGTGTCCCCACCACTCTGACATGGCACCCTAACAGGGGCAGCACCTAATACCAAGGGGAATGCAGAGGGAAACCAGGACCACCTCTTTGGCCATCACCCCACTGTCCATCAGATCAGTCATGGCATGAAAAATGCAAAATGAGCTCCCTCCTATCAAACTTCCTCATGGTGAGTGTCCTGGCTGACTATAACCACTGCAGCAGGGTCTCCCCAGCACGGTTCTCCATTCCCTCACCTGGGACATAGCCCACTCCCCATCTGCCCTGGAGCTCCTTCCTCAGTATGGACAGCCAAGAACCAGCAGTGGCTTTCAGTGATGTTTCAAGCCTTAATTCTCCACAGCTGTGTACTTGTGCAGAGGAGGAAGCAAGAAAAACTCATTGTTCCTGGCAGGTTTCTGAGGACCTGCTGCACCCCAAATGCTGGGGGAACTCAAAGAGGAACAGGGCTGTGCTGGAGGGAGGGCTGGTTCTAGGTGACTGGGTACTGCTACAGCAGTGCTCACAAAAAGGGATTATGTTTCTTAAATCTTCTTCCTTAACATTCATCAACTGGACCTTTCTCAGTTACACTTTTATTTTTTAATGTTCCCATTTCAGACTTGAGCATTAATCTACAGGTTTAGGGACTTTGATTCTCCTTTGGTCTGGTATGAGGCACCCAAGAGTGCCATCAACACTTAGCAGCTGCTCCAACAAATATTTGGCTCTGGGACATGAGCACTAGACTCTCTCACAATCTTGCCTGTCAAACTGTTAAGAGGGAAAGTCTCTGAGGTGATTAGTCAACTAATATATCTAATAAGGGGTTTAAGGAGCAATCCATTACATTTAACAATTCTGAGAATCATTTCCCTTTTCGTGTGCTGTACAAGAGACGACAGTGCAGGGAGCAGTTGGCTAGGCATCGAATTCTCCCACCACCAACTGAATAAAGCTTATGTAAGTTTATTATCTATTTTACTTTGGTGTAATTGATTGCCCAGATGTGTGAGAAGCTTTTACATACAGTGCACTTCCTGCTGCTACATGCTTGCAGGCTGGACTGCTGCTGCAGAGGCCCAGAGAAGGAGCAAGCATTTACTGCAGCACAACAGGGATACACACAGAGTTCATCACTCTCTATTTCTCTGCAAAGGAAAAGCATATACTAGTTCTGGCTTTTGGGATAAAAGTGTTTTGAAATGTGCTCAAGCAATGACTTGTAAAGGGAAGAGGGGAAATTTGGCTTACATCTTTTTGTTTCCTAATTTAAAAAAAACCAGAAACTTGTTTTAAAAAAGTCTCTCTATGCTCTTAAAAGTGGTTGTTGGCAATCTATAAGGAAACAACCTATTCATCAAGTTATAGCACCCTAAGGAGGGAAAGTTTTAGCCAGACTGTATATAAATATGCATTTTGCTCCTGATAAAATCTGTTTAACTCCAGCATCTAATAATATTTGGACAAAAAGATCTATTTGTTAAAGCTCATAGACTTTTACTTTCTATAGGGATCTTATAATGCATGTTCCCCGTGGTCACCAAAAAATCAGGTAAGGCTAGCATTTTCTGCAAATTTATCTTCAGCCGTTACTTGCATTTCCCCTCCCGAGTCTGTGCAGCCTGGTGGCTTTCTTCAGGAGGGGTGATGCTGTGCTTCAGCTGGCTGTGCCCTCAGGTCTTATGGCCCAGGCTCACCCAGCTGAGCTGCTGAGGCTTTCTGGTGTTCCAGCCCCCTCACTTCCCAGCAGGTCCAGCACAAGGGACAATGTGATTCACAGCTCACTATGAAAAAAATATTTGTTAAATGGAAAGAATATATTGTAGTAGAGAGGATCACAGCTTGTGTCCCCTAGAGCATATGGATGCAGTGCTGCTGGGGAAACGAGAGCCTTTGTGTGGTGCTTCATGCTGTCAGTCTTGCTTGAGGCAAGTGAGCTTGAGAGTTACTTCTCCAGGTATGGTAACATGAGCGAGCTCAGCAGCATCAGCCAAGCACCACCAACAGAGAGTAGGTGTGATATTCCTGAGCAGGCAGAAGCAGGAGAGATCCTGCCCCTGTGCTCAGGATAGTTTGGAGGAAACTAGTCTGCCACAGTCTTACCTCACCTCACATCTCTCTGCATCATCACACCATGCTCCCCCCTCCAACACAAGAGCGTGCAAGCCCAGTAATAAAAAAGCCTCTTGCAAATTTAGCTGCAAGTAAGGAGGCAAAGGAGGTTTTAGGGCTTAATTTTCCTCTACTGTGTCTATATGACTTAGCTGGGACAAAAGACTTCCAAGGTTTATTTTGGTGAAGCCTTGGTGAGATTGAGTGTGTCATTTATTGGAGAATCTCTCTCCATCTAGCTTATATAAGAAGATGGTTTTCACCCTGGAGATCGTATTCAAATACCATGCACCTGCTGTAAGCTCAGCAGAACCATTCTTATTTTGCCATATTAGTCTTGCTTTGGGGCCTGATTTGAGACCCATTAAAGGAACTCAAGCCTTGTCCTAGGCACTAACAAGCAGGCCCTTAAAACACACCCAAAAGGCCATGAAAAAAATTTAAATAATCCATTCACCAGCTTTTCAGGCTAAATCTCAAATACATTTAGCATTGAACTCTTGCGTCAAATCTTGTGGGGGGATAAAACAAACAAGCCTTGGTCCACTGGATTGCTTTAATAAAAGGTTTATTGGAAATATTTTTGTGCAGACGTACAACAGTCAACAATGCTGTTCAAAGCTACAAATTGTCTAAGTTTTTTGAACCTTCTAAAAATACAAGTAAATGACCTTCATTTGTATTCAGTCTGGAAGGGAAACAAACTCCACTGTAATGCGATGCTGTATTTAAACTACCAAAGGACATTAATAGGACCTGAAAATGGTAACACTTCTAGAGGAAAAAACCCACACACCACTGCTGCTCTGCTGGGAGCCAATTAAACATTCCCCCACAGCATCACTCCTCTCTGCATATCCAGATTAAAACGTCCCCATCTGAAACAATATTTAAGCAATTTGAGTACAGATATGACAGACAAGTGGGCACATGACTTGGTTCGCTGATGAAAAAGATGCTGTTAAGATTCTGTCACTCAAGACGCTGAATATTTGACCTCCCAGTGCAATAGGCTGCACTTTGGGGGCAGGAGGAGGGACAGGGGGAGGTTTTCAAATCAGACAGTTCTTCCAACACACACATGCACACAGTCCCAGAGGGCTTGGCTGCCTCATTGCTGTATATCTGGAGTCCTTTCTTTTTTTTTTTTTAAAGAGTTTAGAAACAACTTTGAGCAACTTCCCAATCTGTGAGGTCTTGACCGTAAGAAAAGCAAGTACCCTCATTCCCTTTCTGAATCAAAATATCAACCAGAAGGGCAAAGGAGAGCATATGCATGGTCTGGTAAACTCCATGTTTCCTAAGAAGCCCTGCAGATGTTTTGAAATTGATTAATTTATGCCAAGATGACATCTGGAACATCTTCGCAGGGAAGCCACCCAGTAAGGTAGTTAGAATTTAAAATAATCATGTCTTTCTGTTAATGTTGGCTTTTTCCCTTGGCTTCATCACTCCATAATTACAAAGGTGCTGACCTTCCAGCTATGCATAGGGACAATTTGGCAATGTATTAGACTTTTCTTCATCATTAGACCTCTGTTTGACTGCCCAGAGCTGGCCTTGATCACACAGAATTTGTCATTTTCCCACTTCTATTTCTCTTTAGTAGCTACAGAGATGCTGAAGGAGAATGAACCCCTTGTGGCAGACTTCAGGAGAACTTGTCTCACCTTCATATATAAAGGTAGCCTTTGGATAAGCACCAGTACTCAGCTGCTTTACCTTCTGTCCACACCACAAATGAGCAGGCCATGAATCCAAATGAAACAACTTCTAGGCTTCACACTCTATCACAAAAAGATCCAGGTCTCCAGATTAACAAGTCCCTTGCACCGGCCTGAGGGACAGGAACCTGCCCAGGAGCAACACCTAAGAAGTCCCATTAACTCTTAATGAAGGATTCTCAGTCATAATTTCAGTGCTCAGTTCTGCTGTGTCCATGAGGAAAACAGTAGCTGGGAAACACTTTAGCAATCTCTCATAACCCATGAAACAACCCACTAGAGCCAAAGTATGCTAAGCAGAGGGCACTTCTGGCAGGGACACGTTTCCTTTTTCCAAGCCCAGGACTCAGCTTGGTACCAGAGAAACTCAGCTTCAGGAAGGAACCAAAGAAAGCTTTACCACAGCTCTTCAGGGAAGCCTGAGGAATCCCTCCCTTCTCTAACCTCTAACAGCAGCAGTGGTCTTGGCCAAGTTATTCTGTTTCCCAGTACCTTCACCTCTCCAGACAGCCAATCCGAGAGCACATTCCTGGCCAGATAAACTCAATCAGGCTGTCAGGGCTTTCTGCAGGTCACGGAGAAGTGATCACCTTTGGGATTCACTTGTGGGGCCAAGCAGCACAGGGCATTTTCTGGTTTTCATTTGCCAACAAAGCTCAAATCCTCCATTAATCTTACTGCGACATATGGAAAAGGTACAGAAAGAGTTATTTTCTGTACCCATATGGACTTATTTTGATGTCTCCTATTGTACTGACCTGTCCTGTGGCCTTCTCCAGACACACAGCTCTGGTCACAGATGCTGAAAGGTGGTGAAGGCTCTCTTGGGTGTCTATAGGATACTGAAGATGAGAGATCTGAGCTCCTTCCTTCCTGGAGTTATTCAGTTTTGAGAAGTCAGTATAAGCAATATTCTAAGACTAGGAAAAATAAAATGGGAATAGAGTTGTATTAACTGTTATCAAGCCTACAAGATTTGCCCCAACCCCCCAGCTTTAAGAAAAAAATCAGTGTGTATAGTTTCACCAACCCAGAAAGCTCAGCACCTGGAAGAATAAGCTCCAGAAAGAAACTGCCTCTCTGAAAGCTCGGGTCATGTCAAAGGCCTCAACTCACCAGCACTAACAGGTAACTTCCAAGGAAGCAGGGGCTATGCTCCTGGAACAGCTCATTTTACCCCTGCTGCTGCTAGCAGAGTCCCACCGGTGGCTGTCTATGATACAAAAACAACTATGCTACCATGCTGTGGAACAGTCAGCTCCCTGTGGCTGCCCCTCTCAGCCGGCCTGGAGAGCCACACTTCAAAACAGGATCTCCTGCACAGAGAGCTTCTGAGGAACGGTGACATGTCTGCAGATAAGCAACATGCCAAAGAGAAGCATCACTGTCTGTCAACTCACTTGCCCAGTGACATGATTGCTCACACAGGGCCTGACTGGTGGGATGAGAGTGGGCTGTGTACAAGTCCAGCCATCAGATTCATGACCTCCTGAGCAGCGTGGAGGGACAGTTATGAATTATGGCTAGGAACAACACTTGGATTTGAATTCAAACCTCATTTGATAGGCACTTTAGCTGTGCCTCTAAGAGCTGCCTGCTGGACAGTCTCAGGGTTGTGCCCAGGGGACCCTGCAGGTACAAGATAGGGACAAGGGTCTGGATCTACTTGGTGCTCAGCATTCTCGAGGAGGCACAGAGCTGCAGCATAGTCAGACTGGAAGAAATGAGTAAAAGGGTCCTTACTGACAGGACAGAAGGAGTCCAACTGTCTAGACACTGAGGAACATGCAGGGTCAGTGCTGTGTTTCAGAAGCAGAAGCAAACTGCTACCCAGACCCATCAGGTATAGCACAAATTCTCCTCTCTGACCCCTCAGATATTTCATACCATCACTGTTTCTTTTTAGACTCAACAAGACACAAAGAGCTTTCCTGCAAACTGATTGAAGTTTAACACATTGATACTGGGTGGATCCAAAACTAAGGTAAACTTATCCTCAGTGCTTAACACTATGAGAAACCTGACAAATCTGAAGTGCTTCTTGGGGGCAAACAGCCACTGAAGGGTTGCTCTGCTTCAAACTTGAGCTGTGAGGTGTAATACCAGAAGTACAGTCAGAGCATTTAAAGATGAAATTAAGTAATTTTTTACAAAACCAAGGGACAATGTAAATAGGACATCACTAGCTTTCACTGATGACTGGAGGCAATGTGAAACAGCAGATTTAGTGAACTAGCCCAAAAGGACAAAATAAGCTTGCAGGACAGGGACGGCGTAAGGTCCATGCACCTCCCAAGCTCTTGGGTTCTCCATACAGGGCCAAGTTGCACCCAGTGTGGACACTGACTACGTCACATTCCCTACATTTCACATATTCTGGTCCACCTGAGCTTCCTTATTTATGACTTTATTATTATGACTGTCTCCCAGCAAACACACTCCATTACATGCTGTAAAAATAATGTAATCTTGGTAAGAGGAGACTTCCCTGCAGCATCTGCTATTAGCTGCTGGCTGAGGCAGGGGACTGCACAGTTTTGGCATGCACTGAGAGGCGTGTGGTCTAGTGAAGCACAGATTAACGAGGCTTGACTGTTATCTCAATTTACAGCCCATATAGTTCATGTTAACTCTACACACATTTTTAGATACATTAGCAGCTTAGTTTGACCTAGATACTTTTATTGGTTTTTCGCCATTTCTCCTTGAGAAGTTATTACTGACTTCCCATGCTAGCTCCCTACAGCAAGACCTGAAGCCCTGTCAAGGAAAAGAAAATGTCAACAGACTTCTCAGCAGTGCTTAGCTCAGGCTCCCACTCACCAGCTTCAATTTGCTACTAGGCAATCATTAAAGGAACAGCAGTTTCTATGCAAGCAGTGATTCCAGTGTTACAAAAAGCAGCAACCAGATCCATGTTTAATTTAGGTAAATCACCACTCCCTTCTGAATATTCAAACCCACCTCCTTTTGGTCAGTGCAGAAAGCTGCCCAGGAAATCCTTTTCTGATCAACCCTAGGTAGTTAAGCCCGGACGGTAATGCAGAAATCTCCCATTCCTTCTGCTCCGATACCCTGTCTAGTTGATAACACTTTCACACAGTGCTTTCAAAGGCTGCTGTTACTGCTACATGCATTTGCCTTAATGAACAAGGAATTCTGTTGATGCAGAGCAGCTGCCATTCTCCTTTTGCTGGAATACACCTCATCATTGTTCATGAAGACAAGCAACTCCAACAGCCAGTCTACAGCATATTACAATACATTAATTCCCATAATGACTCCAAAGAACAAGAAGAATGCCAGGTCTTGACCTGGGTGGGTTCTACAGAATTAACTCAGCTAGAGATTAGGCCTTACAGTGATGATAAAGTCTGACCCACTAGCCCCAGCGTCACATACTGTATAGCCCTGTGACAAATCCCATGTGCAATTCCCATTGAGCTGACAACCAACACACGTACCTCAGTCTAAGCCACCATTCACTCTGGGGAGGGTCTGTGTTTGTGACACACACTGACCTCAATTTACAGGGAGGTCAAAATGATACAGCCCATAGTCTGCGCTAATAAAATAAATCACATCAGATGACAGCTTCTCCTCCCCAGCATTTCCCATTATGTTCTGTAAAATTTGTTGCAGTAAGTTAAGAACAGAAAAGACTCCAGGATCCGTTCTATTCTCTGCTCAACACGTTTACTTGCCCTTCTTCATTATCCAGAGGCTTTTAAAAGTTTCTTTCTGCAGCCTCATGAAAAGCCTCCAAATTGTTTACATACCAATGTTTGGTGTGTGGCTTAGAGTACAAAGACTAAGCTGATCTTATTTTGTCTTGGTGGGAAGTTAATTTTCCTTGTGTTTTTACAAAAGGAAGAAACAATTAGCAGTTCTGAGGAATGGCTTACACCACAGATTTCCTAAATAGATTTGGGTTCTAAATAAAAGGAAGTGTTTAACAGGTTATATCAGCATTAAGATTTAGAAGCTCCTGGGATCAGGTTTACTCTCCTCTTATTTATTCTCTGCACTAGTATTCGTGCCTTTAAACAAAATTTATCTCCCAGAAAATACACACATCCACACTTGGCCCCTTGACATTCATGCCTATGGCAAAATTATTTGCATGTTTCCCCTACTGCATAATTGTCTCATTAGCACTGCAGAAAGAAGGTGATGACTTTTTCCTCTGTGCCATCAACTTAATCCAAGACCAATCCTGACTGGTGCTGCAGGAGCAAAATTTGCCTTTTTTAACATGGAAGAGGACTCTGAGCCTTTGAGGTGGCACTGGGAATTGAATTATGACACTTGAGCACTGGCATTTACTCACAACCCTTAAGGAAGATTAAGCCAGTTGGCCAGTCTGGTGCTTTCCTTTCCCTTTCTAAACATAAATATTCATATTCAAATTGCTTTTGGATATATTTAAATCAGTAAAAAAACCTGGATGACGGTCAATAGGGCAAAAAACAATGCCAACTTTCTAAATACATAGATGTAGTATATACATTAACCACAAAACTTGGCTTAAACACAGCAGTATTTACTTTATACTATTCAGAAACATGGCTTGGGGACTAAAATTAATAGAACTTGTCTGGAGGACAGCATAAGCTTTCTAAGAGCTCTTTCAGCTTTAACTTATGCGCCAGTTTTTGCCTTTTTTTTTTTTCCCCTCCAAATTCCAATCTATGCAGCAGCACGCCTGTCCCACTGGCACAGCAAGGCCATGGAGCCAGCATTTCTTCCAGGGCTCACAGGTCTGAAGCCTGGGAAGCCTGTTGATGGATCAGATCTAGAAGAGGGACTGGTTTGGCTGAACAAACAAACAGCAGGTCTTCTCTTCACAATGACCAGCTCTGTTTGTGTACATGTGTGTGCACACGTGTGTAAACCCTTCCTAACTTTTCTTCGCAAACCTGTCCTACCTGGTCAGGGAAATGCTTCTTTAGGGTTACAGCATCAGCCTCCTGTGTGGATGCATATCTTCCGTATCAACATACCTGACAAGATTGTACCTTTAAAGTTCTCGCTGTTTTGTTCTACTATTAAAGTGGGAATGGAATTATGGAGGGAAATCCCTAGCTACATTTGAAGTGCACATCCAAATACATCATGAAGCGTTAGGAGGAGGCACCTATTTGAGTTAATCTTTGTGTACAATGCCATGCACTCAAGACAGCTGCCCTGCCAAGCTCTCTGACTTCCACATCCTGGCTTTGTAAGTAAGCTATTAATTGGGTTTCAGAAAGCTAAGACAGATCCCTAATAAATTGTGTAAGGGGGCATGAAATATTCTAAGTAATTGTTTGCTATCTTGTGTTATTCTGTCATAAGAAGGCAAATAAGCATTTTTAGCTACAAACTGTGTTGCAATCAAAAATTTTACACCAAATGATCTGTTAAAAATTTCAGCCAAATTAGTAAACAGTGAATACCAGAAGGAGTAAAGTCTGCATGCAGTCATGTGCACTTGGTCTGTGTGTAACAAAACAGGAAATCTCAGCACCCCATTCCAATTAAGCAAAGGCTTGTTTCTCATGGAACATAAATTTTCTGCTTTTCTCCCAGAACAACCTTATGCTGATGTTTTAAATAGTGGTAAAACATTGTTTTTAATTTCACACCTCACATAGCACAGTCAAATGCTTCATAACAACATAAACAAAACTTTAGGCAGAGCTTTGCAACTGAAGTCAAACAATGATTTCCCCCCACATTTTGTACTCAAGGTTTGCAGGGAGAATACAGAAACTTGTTGGCTAAGGCCACAGAAATGAGTTCTCTGGTGTTCTGACTGCTGCCACCAATTCTAGTCAAGAATGTGTTAACAGTGGATGCATTGATCCAAATTCCATTATTCCCACCACCCATCAAGTAAAAACCATTTATTCTATTTCTGTTCTCCTTTTGGTTGTATCGTAGGATCGAACAACTTGCGACTGGGAAACAACACCGTGTTCTTCTTGAGAAAATGCATACCCATCTGAAAAAGCAAAGGAAGAGAAAAAAATAAATCACTGGAGTAGAGCTCAAGGGCACAGCCCATTTTTAGAAACAGTTTTAGGCATTACTAAAGTTACATGATTGAGACTGCAACCATCTTAATTTCTGTGCTGCGCTTCTGATGCTTACAGCTGCGCACAGCATTGCCCACATGGCATAGAAAGGATGACTGCTGCCAGCTTCATCCTGCTGCTCCCCTCCCCAGACCAGTTAATTGATACAGTCAGCGACTCCCTCTGTGTTAGCCTTGAAAGCTACAGATTGATTTGAACACATGTGTACTCCTACAGTGGCAGAGCTTCTTTAAAGACTTTAGAGAGAAACAGAGATCTGCATTTCAGCTCGACTCCTCTACAGTTTGCTTGATATCAGCAGTTCCTCTGGAGAAACATGGAAATGTCTAGCCTGCAACTGGATCTTTGTCACATCCTCCTCTTAACTCCATTCATCCATATTTTGCATAGAGCAAACAAACATATTCTGGAGGTCTTTATTTTGTTAATCCTGCTAGCTAGCACAATCCTTTGGTCTCCCTAGAAATTACTCTGATGAAAATAACCATGCGCATGATTTCTTTTAAAGTACTGTGGACAAGGCAAGTGACATTTCTGACATCATCTGCAAAACACCACAACACTGGTAAAACAGTCACAAAAGCTAATGGGCCTACCTGGTGAAACACCAGACAGACTTGCAGACAGGACCCTACAGAAAATTCTGAATTAAAAACTATAGCAAAGTACAACAGACTTTGTGATGCCAAGGAAACATGGTTTTCAGGTGTAAATGGGTAATCATAAAGGATAAGAAGGGCAGATTAGCATAGTTACAAAAACAAAGAAATAGGAAAGTCACAGGCTACACATAACCAGATAATGCTTGGTAGTAGAAAAGCAGGCAAGACTTGGGAGAATCCAAGAATTAAACCATGGCTAACTCTCCATGGGCAACACTCCATCTCCCCTGAGGAGCTCTGGAAGCAGGAGCTTGAGAATTCTCAAATCCTGCCTGAGATTTATCCCAGGCTAAAAAATACATGATCAGATAAGGACACATCCCAGTTACTACCCAGAGACCTATCAAATGCCTTTCAGAAGTCCTCCCTTAATTCTCCCCCTACACCAGGTACTGAGGTAAGGCTGGAGCACAACACAGAGGGTCTGTGTGACAGAAAGGCACACAGGGCTGAACACCCTCTTAAGACAGGAGGGATATGAGGCTCCCAAGAAGCTTGCTGCTATAGACTAGACTTGCTCCCCATGGGCCTGAATGCAGCCTTCTTTGAAGCAAGTGACCAATGCTGGTAGCCAGAAGCAGCTCAGAAGACCAGAAATTAACTGTATCCTGTGAGGCTTGTTAAATCTTCACCTTAACAACCAAGTTGGGACCATGTGACTCAAGCACAGATGCTCAAGCAGTCCTAGATCTTTTCTCTGGCTGATGCCTGTAAAGGGAGGGTGGTCAGCAACTCCTGTACAGCAGTAAGCTGTTGAGAAGAGAGTCCCGCAACACTACGATTGACCACTAGATAACGTGTAGGGTTTTCTCTTCTCTCACAGAATGCAGGTAAATGTCCCCTCTGAAGCCACTGGGATTCCACTGTAGATTCAAGCTCTTAAGGCAGAAGGCACGCTCCCTTAGCAGGAGAGGTTAGCTGACCTGAATCACAAGTACAGCAAGAAATCTTTGCCAGTAAGTGGAGGGGATTCAAACAGAAATACATCACTCCAGTCACATCTTCCTCTTGGAGCGATTGCAGGACAGCATGAACCTTGATTTGATTACATGACTGATCATCCCAGTGTCCCATTTTATTTTCCCTGAGCAATTCCATGCCAATATACATACCCCTACAGAGGCACAGGTTGGTTTTTCCTGCCTCTAGTTGAAGGTTCACGAAGTGCAAACAGTCTTTTGGAAAAAAGTACGTCCATGCTGGATCATTGCAAAGGAAATACTACTTATAAAAGAGGCTTTCATTTAAAAAGGGGTGGATTGACACTTAAACAAATACCTCCAGTGGGTTTCTTCCATGTTAAGGGCCAGCATCCTGTTAGCTTTTTTGGCTAAATTCTCAATGGAAAGTCAACTTAGTCAAAGACTGTAAGCTTAAGCCCTGAAGACTGAAGCCCATGACCCATAACCTGATATTTACATTGAGATGGCTTTCCTGTATTTACTTATCCAGTAAGATCATCCAGTGAAGTCTTCCATTGCTGTGCCTACTGCAAATACAGCACTGACCACACAAGTGTGTGAAGACCATCAGCCTCAGGTATCTTCCTGCTTATTTCCTGTGCTAGCACAGGCCTGTAAACAGCCAGGCACCCCAATCACTCCACAATGCCAATGCAAAAGGCAGTCAAAGAAAGAGCTTCACCACTCTCACACCAGTAGAAAACACCTTAACATGACAAAAAAATTTCAGGCTACAATCAGTGGTTAAGAGTACCAGGGGTATCCTTACATCTTCATGTTCTTCATCCATCCTGAAATACCAGCAACGAGAGTTTTGTGTGTATGTCATGGGAAAGACTGTGACCCTTGCACATCACCTACTTAGTTGAAGCTCAACATTTGGCAGTTCATTTAAAACTTTCCTGTAGATCTCCACACAGGAAGATGAGTTCATATTATATTTTTCTATTCACTTTACAATTAAAATTGAACTTCAAGCTGTGTAGGCAGCTTACTGTGCCTTGTGGAATCAAAATGCACACATTTTGATTCCACATCCACACTCCCCAAGCAGCTCTACGTTTCCACTATTTTTAGACCCCATCCAAAAACAATGAAAGTTTCCATCTGCCAGTTACTAGGGAACTTTCCGGAAGTTTGAACTTTTCCCCCAACTCTAGTTTTAAAACCACACCTATAAGCCTGCCCTGGGAACAATGCCCTCATTGTTCAGCTGTCCTGCAGCAGCCCAAGGAAGGAGCACATTTCTTTGGAGCTTTCTGGGCACAACACACTCATGGCTGTCACAGGAGGAAGGATCTTTGTACTCAGAGACTTTCTATTAATGGAGAAAAGGTGCACTTTTGAATATCTGTCAATGGGGCTCACTTGTTAAGAGGAGATTCACATTCTCATCAAATCTAAGGTTTCATTAGTACCAGATATTATCAGACAACCTATTCAATTTTAAAAGCATCCTGTTGGGTTTTCTTAAAGCTTCGATATTCTATTAGTAGATCAGAATCTAGTCTCCCAGTAGGTTTCTAATTTAACACACTCTTTTCCTGTTTACTGCAATGGCTATTCTGGTCTGTGTGATGCTGTTCATGCATGTGCCTTGAACACAGACAGCAACTTGTGGAAGCTCAACAGCATACTCATCTGCAACAACTTCCAAGACCAGGACCAAGAAAGGGTCCAGGGTGGTCTTTTTATTCCAGAAAATCTCTCCACAGAAGGACCGCCTACAGGTCTAGTCACTTCAGGGATTTATTTTCGAGGCCTTCTACTCCTTCCACTCTCCTCTGATACACCCAAAGTGTCTGTCTCAGGATTTCTTTAGGCCAACCGGTAAAAGGGCAACTTTCACTGGCAGCCCATCAGAACCTTTGCCTGCTGCAGCAGTTCACTATTTCATACATGCTGTGGTATTATGGTTTAGTATAGTCCAAGTATAAAAATGCCCCCTTTTGTTTGCCTTTGGAGAAAAATGCCCAAATTCAAATCCACTATAATTTTTTAGCAGTTGGTAAGGATGGGAGGGACTTAAAAAATAAACAACCAAACCCTCTTTTAGTAAATGTTGCTTCTTAGGTTGCAAAAATATCTCTGACATAAGAAAAATCAACGTTAGGGTATCAGTTGACCAGCCAAATCTCTCTCAGGCCAAATGTCTGGTTCTGCACAGTTTTTAAGGGTATTTGCTGTGATGTCACAGTTCACATTTACCAATTAAACAGTGAATGCTAACTCAGCTTTGACTTCTCCAGCAACCCACTTCCACTTAACCTGGGAAAGGGAGAGCTGCTTAAAATCTTGAATAGTTTGACTAATGCTTCCAGAAATCATTAATTTCTCTGCTGATAAACTGTGCCTGTGTTTTCTAAAGGACTGAAGAGTAATTCCTGACAAATGACCCCATCTCTTTCATCCCAGATACTAATCTACTGATATTTGCATGTAGAAAATAGAGTCAGATGCCACAGCATCAATTCTAAACTAATTATTCCTACTTCTTTTTCTTAAGTTGATTTTAGAAGATTGAAACTCCACTTAACATCAACAAACATGTAGCTTGGAAAAAATACAGAATTCAGATTATATTTCAAACACATGCAAGATAAGAGGAAAAGGAGTCTAAAAACATCTCAAGTAGCTACCCCTTTCTTTTTCAAATCAAAATGCACCAGCAGAAAAGTGAGAGGAAGAAGGTGTCTGCTAGTGGTGAATAAATAGTGGGATTAGAGCCCTCAGCAAGAACATATTATTATTATTTATTATTTGTCAGCTCCCATACTGTGAAATGAACCTCAGATGACAGGTGCTTTTTCTCCATTGATTAATAAGGTGCAAACCATATGCTCTGTGTTCAGATTTTCTCTATGCAATCACCATATTCTGTCAAAGGAAGAGGGATTTTCTTTGCTAGCACAGGAAATCTGGGCCAAGTGCAGTAATCCTCATTCAGGCACAGCTATTGGCATTTCAGGGGGAGCTCTGCCAAAGCTGTGCTTTAATGGAAGTGGGATTCAGATCTATTTTTAAAGAGCATGCTGAGACAAATGATAACTAACACTGCCAGGGATATTACAGGAGGGAAACTGCACTAGAGAGATGTTGTGGGACTTTCCTTATGGATGGACAGGTCTGAGGGTACCTGAGCAAGAAAGGAACATCACTCCTCCCATCCTGCTGGTGAGGGACTGGAGGCACAGGTGATACAGGTCAGTCACACAGAAAGAAAGGGGAGGTCAGAGGCATCTTCTGAATCTACAGAGCTTCTCTAAAGGAGGTGCTACTTTCAAAAAGTCACAGTAAAAAAAAGACACAGATTTGGATGGAGACCTGGAGAAAACCTCATTGCCAGCAAACCCTCTGAGGGAGAGCTTTTGCAAGTCATTATTGCTTGTTCCTTCAAGTGTGAACCCTACAGCAAGCTAAAGGGAAGGGTCCAAAGACACATCTGGGAGGAGCCTGGTAACATTTCCTGCTCAATTTTAAGAGGTTTCAGAAAGCAGACGGCATCAAGGAATTCCCGATTCCACCAGACACCTTTGCCAGGAGACAGACCAAGCCTGGGTGCCAGCATCGTCATTGCTGCCTCCATGATTCCACTAAGATGGTTTTATGTTAGCACATGGGCTTGACAACCACATAAAACTCTTCCACTAAAGTCTCATGACAATGCCATCCAAACGGGAGCTTCACTTTTTTTTTTTAAAGTAAACTTCCCAGACATTACACTGGTACAAAGAAACCACATAATTTTTGATAGTACAAGCTAGTAGAAAGATTTCTTTCATGCTTCTCACAGCTCTACACAACTCAGGAACACACAAAACAAAGTCAGAGCAAGAAAAACAGCCATGAAGGTTTTACTTTAAGGGCATGCCCTTCCAGGGGTTACTAAACTGGGCCTACTCTCCAAGGCAGCCACTCTGAGACAGTCTCTTTAGGGAGGGAAGCATTTAAGAGACTAATCCTGGCTGGCACTTTTGTACAGCACTGACATGGCACTGTCTGTGTGGTTCTGCTACCCACTTTGAGGGCTGGATCCACAAGAGCCTGGTGCCATACAGGAGCACCCCATCCACAAATCATGCCTGAAAGTCTTGTGCTGTGCTAGTGCTTCTGTAGAGGGGCTGACTTACCAACAGAGAGCTAATGAAACACACACAGAATGAGCTTCTGCTTTTCTCACAGGGCTGTGCAGACTTAACTCAGTCAGCTCTTTCCTCCCACCACAGACCACTAGCAGTAGCCTGGAAACTCTCCATGAGATTTTTCTCCTTTCCATGTGATTGGAAACAAAGCTATTTAGGTATTACTTCATCTCAAAACATTCGGTAGTGGTTGTTGTCAAAAATAAAGTGATTCTCAAACTAGTACTGCATCTTCGCAATCTGTGCTAGGGGAAATTTAATCCCATTTTCATTCCTTGTTGGGACTAAGGCAATTCATTTGCTTAAGCCCTCATCAGTGCTAACTAAACTAACCATTTTCCTGCTTTATATGCAAGTGGCAGATTCAGAGCGGAAGTCACACAAGCAATTTTTGGTCTTCACAGGCTAGTAACTTAGGGCCTGGTAGAAACATGAACCATTCGAGATTTCAAACACAGCGCTTGTAGCGTGATTTAAGATACTGGTCTGGCATGTCAAGGCTACTGCCCTATTCATCAACTCTTTGCTTTGAAGATTTCTAGCATTTAGTAAACAGTTTAGGGTTGTGAAAACAGCACGTGTTCACTGGATTTCACATGGCCTTGTACATATAGCAGCTATGCAACACTGGAAAATAATATTTGACAAGAGATGACAGAAGTCATGGATACACCACAAAAAGCATCTTTCAGTCCTAACAGTTTCAAAATCAAAATTTATGTTCATGTGAAAAACAGACTGCTGATTGTAACCTGTCCTGACTGGCCTGACTCATTTAGCACTTAATCATTTGCATTTATAGGAAAGTTGGTTATCCAAACTAGGATTTATTTTGATATCATTTTTCTTTTGCAACAGCTATTTACCTACTAATAACCTAATGATGTGTTCTATGAGACTAAAAGCACATATTAAGTCTGACTAGTCACTTCTGGTGTATCTCTCTTCTGTACCCTGTTAAGGCTTTACAGCAGACTACTTTGACAGCAATTGATTTAAGCATTTTACAGATTTCTTCTGCCAACCATAGCTTTTGCAATCTTCTCAAAGAGCATGTTTGCATGTCCAAAGCTGTGTTGCTACCAGCATTCCCGGCTCCTTGACACAAAAGATTAAATACTGGCAGAAACATATGGTCCACAGGACTGCTCCGCACACCAGCCTCTCTTCCCAGGAGCAATGGGATTGACTGCTGAGGACCCTATATCCCTTTAAAGTGATGGTCTTGCAACAGATCTATGAAGGACAAAGACTATCAGATCCATCACTGTTCCACCCCTTCTAGTCAAATTCCCTGTGGAAAACAGGAATATCTCAGGTATTTGGGTTTTCAAATCCCAGCCCTGCCTCCATGACCTGAACCATAACAGTTCTGCTACAGAAGACGACACAGCTAGCAATGAGATTTGATTTCAGTGATTTTTCAGTCAGAGGTGTCACTTCCCACTGCAATGGCAATACGAAACTCAAATCCTGAGTGCCTGCCCCTTGCCCTGTGTGCTGCAGTACTGCACACTGGGGGGCTGTTTTCTTTAGTAAGATGAGCATATTTTGACCACTAGTTTAACCACAAGAGAGACTGCATTTTACCAATACAAGGGGCTGACTGGACTACCTAGTCCCCCAAGACAGCATGGTCCTTCAGTGTATCTGGCCTACAGAGCTGTTAACAATGATTTTTAATACTGTGGAAGCCCTTCTAACACTGACAAAAACTCATCAGGTCCAGCAGATACAAGGTCTATTCCTCTAGGAAGATGAATAAATGGATGACCTGTACACCAACAAGAAATGCAATTTATTCGAAACAGCAGCAGTAGTGAGATGTGATGTTACTACTCTTCCCCCAGCAGTGGCCAAAGAGGGAGAGGAGAGAGGCAGCTCTGCAAGCCACGGCTTTCCTCATCAGCAACATGCAGAATCCCAACTGGCATTCCTGAAACAAGGCTTTATTCTCAGCTAACCACAGCTAATATGATTTTTCATACAGAAACCACTTCTAGCTAAGCTAGGCTCTATCACAGCATTTATTTTATGCAGAGTTTTTACAGTATCCTTAAGACTATCAGCATTCTACCTTTAGAGAACCTGCTTACTGGGGTTTTGTCATTTGGGCCTGTTGATTGGTTCCTGGGGAATTAACTGCATTTGAGCTCCACTTGCCTACGGCCAAATACACTAATTCCACTTCCAAATGTATGTGTCTTGCTTGGAAGCTCAGCCTCTGTGCTAGATTATCTCTACCTACAATTTAATTAAAAAATAATCACCCTTTGCTTCACTCATCTGGGACTGACTGCTGTGAAACACACACGCATACATGATCCGCTACTTACGTGATACACTTTGCTGGACAGAATGAGCACGGAAAAGGCTCGGAGGAGTTTTCCTGCCAAGCCTTTTTAACAAATGATCACGTTCGTTCACGCTAAGGGAGAGAGGAAAAAAAAAGAAAAATACCAGTGAGTAACTAGATAATTGCAAGGTAAAAGTATTTAAAGTACTTGGCAGCTTTGACTTTGTCAATATTTGAGATGGTTGTAGTATGAAAAAGAATTTCCCCTTTTTTTGTTTAAACTGCACATTATCAAGAGAACTGTCTAATGATGGAAACTCATCCTTTCTAAGGACACTTTGTGTAAGTCTACTTTTAGTCAGTCCATCCCTAATATTACCATTATTGTAATTTCTGAATGCTTGATGCCTCTAAATTATTACAAACCATATTAGAAGTCTGACCAAGTAATATAGAACATTAAAAAGAAGATTTCCCTTTAGTATTATATACATTAACCACAGCACCCACAAATGGCCTTAGAGAGAAGGAGCAAAGCATTGAAGCTTAGCACAAGATAGAAGGCTTCTATCACACCTGCAAAACAACCTGAAGAAACAAAAGGTGGGAACCATAGTTAATTCTATCTCCTAAAGAACATTCTCATTTTTCTTATGTGAGAAAGAAAACTTTCTATCCTTTTTTTAAAATAAGAACACAAAACTTTGTTTTTCACAGTTCCTATCAAAGGCCTGAAAAAATTATTGCTGAATTTACAAAAAGTAAAAATACAAACTTGAGGTGAAAAATACATTATGCCTACACTAGGTTTAACACATATACACAAATCATTAGAGATGCTCTCCACTCTGATTTTTATTAAAAATACAACATTCATTTAATCAAGAATTTTATGTCCAGAATTAACGAATGATGACGAAGATCTTGACCTTTCAAAGCATTTAATTATGTATACAAGTCCCACTAAGTTTGATGAGGTTTTAAAATAACGTTATCAAATCTCACTGCACTGGAGCCTCAAATAACTTCAACATCAGATTATTTTCAGAAAGATATTACAGTCTATTTTAGTTCAAAGTTCTCCGCAATTGGGCTGCTCTTAACATTTCATCCTTGTTCCTAACACTGAGATGGAGCTAGTGCATAGAAGGAATCTACTTGCTGGAGCAGCTCCTTGCAGTGCCTTTATCCCATTTGCACCGCATTTACACTGTATCTCCATTTTCACAGTCTGCTTTTTCTTTCACATCTTTATTCACAAGCAGTAATTCCACTAGTTATGCTGAAAACATGGATACACACCTGAATGCCAATGCTGATATCTTTCTTGGATTAGATTACAAATTCACATGCATTTGGTATATGAAATGGAAATCTCGGCAAGCACAGCTGCTGCTGTCAACAAGCTTACAACAGGTTTAAACGAACAACTCCCTTTCATTGAAGCAGTTTGCTAACTTGAAACAAGAAAGTAACTGAAGAATCTCTGAGATGCCTATAATATGTAATCCAGCCATGCAGGCTTATATTCCACTTAATAGTCCATTAAGGTAACAGCTAGGCTCAGTCCTCTGTTCAGTGCATAATGAGATGTCCACAAAAGAAAGGGAGGAATCCTTCTCTTTTTCCTGGGGTCTCTGAGCTCACACACCTGAACTGGAAGCTTGTAGAGCCTACAGACTCCTCCTTTAAAATGTTTACAAACTGTCAAGTGTTTTCAGACACTTGGTCTCTTCCCTGCTCCTTCCCTTGGCACCACAGAATCACACCTGCAACAGATATGCCAGGTTGCTTTCTCTGCCTGCAGTCAGTAGTACTCCCTCAATATAAAACAGAAGTTGACAAAAGATTTGGAAGCAAAAGTAAAGATTCCAACTGAGTTCGTCAAACAATCTCTAAGAAGATCATGAGATCTGCATGTGTTCAAAAAAGAGAGGGTCACAGGTTTCCATTAAAACCAGGGTTACAGCATGAAAGCTTCTAAAATCTTGGAAGACACAACTGCTTAAAAAACCAAAGACTGGTTGTCTGTAAAAAAAAAATCAAGTACACACAGAAAGAAATTTCTAACTGCTCCAAGCAGGCAGCATAATAGAAAGCATGTACTACAAAGAAAGCATGTACTACACCAGGTAAGGGTGATGCAATGGAAGGCATGAAGCAAGACACGAGACTTCTCTAACCTTTAACAGCTTGCTCACAAAGTTGGCAGCCTGCAGAGCCAATAATTACCAGTGCACGTGCAAATTAGCGATGCTGTATTGTACAACCTCCTGCTGATTGTAGAGGACTGTTGGTGTAGTGAAACACTGTCTGAACCAACTGCTGTCCTGTGAATGATGGAAGTGGAACACTTGTTCACCTTCTGCAGGTGAAGAATATGCAAGAAGAGTCTTTCCCATCTCAGTGGGAGAACTGGAGGGCAATTTAAAGAAGGAAATTTAAATTGATCAAAAATATTTATTTTAAGGGATAAATAAGCAATATTTGCCACAAAATTCTTACACTGAGAATGGAATTAATCATAGCAGCAAAAAGTGTGAGGAACAAATTCTTCATCTGTCTGTCTACCACACAGCAACAGATGAAGTGCGGGCCAATAATGCTTAGCTCCTCAGGCTTCTCCATGAAATGTGGGGAGGAAAGTGTGTTGTCAAGGGACTTCTGAACAGGAACCACACATTGCAGCTTTAAGAAAGCCAAAGCTACACTATCTTTGATATTGCTAATTACAATCAACAATTTCAAAGCTGAAGTCACATCTGATTTTCCCATTTGGGAAATTATATTGCATTATATCTATGCAGAGAAAGAAAAACTCATGAAGAATTAGAGCATTTGTGGCTTAAGTAGAAGGGATGACTGAACAGACTGCAAGTCAAGACCAGTCAAGTACTATAAAATAAGCTCTTAATACACAGAGGTTAATGCAACACAGCTCTTCTGAAACGGACGAGTATTTGATTTATTAACAGATAACAAACAGATATTTAATATAATAACAGATATTAACAGATACAAACCCTGAAAGGAAAGCGAAGTGGCTTTCTTAAAATGTTTGCACTCATACCGAGTCCCTACTTTCAGAAAAAGTTTTTGTCTGCTGCCAACAGGTAACAGAGTGAAGACCTCTCAGTCTCCCTCACACTGCGATGCAAAACTAATAACAACACTGGACTCACAGGCAACAAGTTAAGCCTTGTTCACAGAAATACTGCTTGTTAACAATCCCAAGACTTAGCCATGATTTTCAATTTAATTCTGCTTTCCAGTGACTCAGAGTCAGTGCCTAAGCACCCCCATGGGGTCTAAGGATGGCATCTTAAGATGCCTTGAGGCAAAAGGATAGAGATCATAAGATCATACTCTGAATATGGGATAGTTGTGTTCATATTCAGGACTTCAAAAATTGTGTCAGAATGGAAGAAATCACAAACCTGGACATTCTTATGGAAAGCAATAATGAGATATGCTTTAGTTGGTGACCTCTGAGGGGGTAAGGGAGAGGCACCATCTATTTGTAACTATATGAAGGACAAAGGACACAGACAAAATGCTTTGAACTAAACAAACAGTAGATTAGAACAATAACTATTAAAATGTCCCAACTCTGAGGGTTACTATGAAAAAAAGGATTAAAAAAAAGTCAGTATGCAAGTCAGCTAAATCCAGATTCAGTTGCTATCAATAATGCAGAATACCTGGGGCCAGGAATACTTTTGCAATGGCTTCATGAGAGGGTTAAGACAACTTCTGCCTGCCTGGAAGTCTGTGCTTCATCACACAAATTCATTAAGTGAATGACAAATCAAAAGGTAAACTAAAGGTAACACATTATTTCATAACAATCTTTTCAATTCCATGAATAAAACGACTCTTCCATCTTCCTAACTAAATAGCCCTAAGGTGTCAACAGAGACCTTCATTTAATCTTTGTGTTCTCTTCTTCTCATCCCTCACAAAAGAAAACAGCCCTTAAATCTCGGCAACAAACATCTGGCTTTACACATTCAAATAAGGTGCATCAAAACAAACAGAATAATTCAAAGCTGACCACAAGGTTCTGCTGTCTCATTTGCTGAAATAATTAAAAAAAGATGAGCTTCACCACCAATTAGCTCTACTGAGTGCTAATTAGCGTTAATGAGGATTTGTAGTATTTGGTATAGCTTGACCCAGAATGTCCTCCTGAGTCCACTAATTGGCTGGTGGGAAAAGCAGGGATCACAAAAAAGGGACGGTTAAAGCGGATGCAGGTGTCTCTTAAAATTGGATCTTCCCTGAGAAAACATACACATAGTCCAGTTAAAAAAAATACAAAATAAAAAAATCAGAGCCCTCCTTCTCTTACAAGATCTGAACTTTTTGTTTGTGTTTTGTTACAATGTACTAGAGGAGATAGAGAATAGAAGCACACCGAATGTGCAAATACACTTATTGCCGTTGGTTTTAACTCACTGCACCTCTTCAGTCAGATATACACATATGAAATGACTTGTTTTGTTTCTGCTTTTCCACTTTGTAGAAGGAAGAACTGATGTACTAGTGAAGCCCTACCAGGGCTGCTAGAGATGACACAACTAAAACGCACAAGCACACTTCCCAGCTGCTACCCCCACCTCAAAAACACGCAAAGAACCTGTGGCAGAAGCATGGCTCTTCAGTGCAAGATACTCAGCATCCGTGGGTAAGCCCAGAGAACAAGAAAGCTGCAGCTGTTTTCCCTGTCATCTGAATAACTATGAAGCCCTCACTATACTGCCTGCATGTGCAGCATCACTGTTTCTTCTATCCTAAAGAGCTGCTGCAGCACACAGCAACAGGTAAATCATTGCACAGCTTGGTTTAAAATAGAAAATCCTTCAACGCTGAGGCTGAAGTTTTGCCCTTAACTCCACAGCCATACTCCTGACCACATGCATTTTCAAAAAAAGCAGCAGATAAACCCCTGTTCAGCCTCTTTCCTTCCACTGCCATATACTCTGCTAAACACACTGTTGCCCTGGCTGGCCTGCATTCTTCTCCTATTGGAAGAAGCATCTTGCAATGTATTGTCCACGACTGCAACAGCAGGGATGGGAGAGAATGAGGGAGGGGAGAAGTTTTTGCAAAATATCCCATGTGGCCACACA